GTTCCGCTGTGACGTTCAACACAAATAACTCGGAATTGGTTGGTCGTTTTACAATACAAGACCGGTACTTCTGCTGTCCCTGCATCCTAGATGCAATACTCTAAAAAAAGTTTGTTGGCCCTTTGCATCACAGACAGATCTCGAAATAGGCAATGTATTCTATGGAGGCAAGTCAAATTCCCGCACCAGATGTACAGGTCTTGGCCGTTTTTCAAACAACTTTTTGGCGACAGCTGGGGCCAGCATCTGCCTTCGTATAGAGTTCCTTCCGATTGGTCAATCTCTCACGTGCCCTAAGCCAGATACGGCTGGTTTTCTCGCCCTGGTGATTTGTGGCGGGAACCGCTTGACAATGTGGGCCGGAGAGGATGGGTCTCACCACCAGATTGCAACACTGGGGCAGACGACCCGGATACTAATGTGTCTTGTTGGAGCCCCGAGGCTGAAAGCCGCCTGAGCGATGGCCCGGAAAGACTTTAACCAAAGTTGGCTTTCTGGTGTTACTCAATTGGATACCAATGGGAAATAGGACAGAATTATATAAGATATCCATATCTGGTATGAAACGATACAGTCCATCATGGCTGTACAGATGCCGTATTCTTGCTCTCTGGTAATCCGATCTCACCGTCATCCTGCGCCAACGTTCTGTAAAGAGCGCCCCAATGCCCGACGTAACAGGCTTCTAGATCTGACCTACGTCACCAGAGACCGCGCGGGAGCGACCCTGCCACAAAACATTGTGCCATGGCATAAATAGGAACACAAGCATGCTACATACCGCTTCTAGGACAATACAAACGACACGGCCGTTGTCATCAGAGAAATGTTATGGGGACGTGCCATGGCCCCACTGTTTATGGTTTAGTCTGGTCTTGGCCTGCATCCTCAAAGAGGGTCAAGGGCCAATGGCAATGGTGCTGACCGAGCATCACTACTCGGAGCATCAAGAGGTTGGGGTCAGCAATCGGGTTAGACATTACTAATTCTGCCGCCTATTTCTCCGCCACCACCATGGATATCACTGATGCAGCCATTGACAAGCTCGTGTGTCTATTGGGAAAGAATTCATCCGAGAGGCACATGCAGCAAACCTAAGTCAACGAGTGCAGCCCGTTGGTCAAGGGGCCCACACCTTGACCTAGGGGCTTCCCTACGGTTCTGTACAAAATTAGTTGTAGTAGAGTTAATTTTATGGCCCCACTATTCAGGGGGTAGAGTTGATATTCGCGACAAGGGTTGGGTTGAATATTCTAGCGCCAAAACGCACCAGTTAATATGGGAATTGATACACGGGCATTACCCTTAGCCGGGCATTACTTTTTCCGCCTCTGATTGGCCACAAGTTTTCATGTTAACCTTCATTGAATTCTGCCATCTCCACCGTAAGTACCTTGGCAGCATTCCGGAGGTTTCATTAGTCGCGACATCGCATTAGATTGAGTTTACCTGCAGTGAGGCCTAACTATTCAGAAACACATGGCAGTGCTGGTTAAAAAATGTATAACTAACGTCGGCATATATAAATATGTAGACCCAGCTAGACTCGGTACCATGCCGTGTGTGTGAATGACACTGAATATGTGTAGTGATGTTGTACTTTACGTACTATAGCGTTGTACATACGTACGTACATTAAGGTGCAGTACGGTACACGTATTATGTACGTACGATAGTCCACGATATTCCTAATCAGGGAATTTATGGGCCCACAAGGTACGTACCAAACCTGGGGCACTCTGGCTGCGATATTTACCTTAATTGCCTAAAAAGGAAAGGGAAAATTGTATGTGCGTACTCGTACGTACTACCCGATAGTACGTACGGTACTATAGCCAAAATACAGGACGTACGTACGTACATGTACTACTAAGTCGCATCACTAAATATGTGAACTTCATCTGGGTATATTCTCTCTGCCACCAAGCGCATATCCAAGATGAGCTTGTCTAAGCCAATTCTGAATGAGGAGGTTTGGTCGCTCTCGATGGAACAATACCCCTCAACCACGCCAGAAGCTTTTCGGTTGCATTATGACCGAGCACGTTCAATGCGTCAGAACATTGGTATGCCTAATCCCAAATTCGGTGGCTTAATTGTGATTTGTATGTTGACGAGTTTTCCGTCTGCACAGGACTGACCATAGATGGCGTTCATGATCCCTCTCCAAAATTCTGGGCATTCCATTTCGATTGCGCGTAACAAAACAAGTATTGTACATCCCGAAATTGTGCTAACGAGGTAGTGATCGCTACCCATGACATGACTGCTTTCATCACTGCCACCATTCATCTAAACCTCTGCACCGGGACTCTGAGCCCATTCTCCACAACTCGTCAGGATTTGTCGAATTTGCTGGACGACCTGCTGAGCTTTAGGACATGTGGTGAATTCATTCTGACAGAGGTTGGGCACGGCCTGGATGCCCGCAATCTGGAGACCACTGCGACGTTGTTGCCAAATGGCTGCTTCGGCTTGCACAGCCCAAGTGAGTCGGCTTGGAAGGCGATGCCGCCATCGACTCCCCTGTGCGGCATGCCACGCGTTCAGGTGGTTGGGGAGTAAAGATAAAAGACCTCAATTCTTCAAGTTAGACAAGAGCAGGACAGACAAGAATACATTACAACATTTTTGTTGCTTTATAGTAGTGCCACCGTATTTCTGACACAACTCAAGGATTGAAATGGAAACATTGCATGCATTAACTAGACTGTACTTGTCGGATAAGGCTGCCTCTGTTAGTTGAACAAGCAGACTTAACGTAATTGCTAGATGTCATAAAATCATCGATATCAGTAGTTGAGAAGCTGGCCAGCCACCCTGATGAAATCAGGTGGCTGGGAAGTCTTCTAAACTAAAGATAAAAGACATGAACCCTTCTGAAGGATAGAAAAAACAACAACAATAATTTTTATTCAAGAAATAAGCTTAGTTAACAATGAGTCTCATAACGTGACAGTACTTCACCGATCCTGGAACAAAGAGCCAGGGGATACGACGACCAAAAAGTAGTACACCACGGTACGCCAGACAATCTTCAAGAAGCCACTTCCGAACACCAAACGCCAATACTTTGGTGTAACTTTAAAATCGAGTCATTGAGCGCCTCTCCACTCAATATGCTCCATTCTCCATTCAAGTATACTTGATTTTGCCTCCGTTGAACTTTGCAGGCTCGTGGAAGGTTCCTGCAAGCTGATCCTCCTGGGTAGTTTAAAGTCGCTTTTCTCCGGGTGGCTCCTTTTGTTTTCTTAGTAACTTTGTCATGGGTGCCGTAGGGGTGGCACGATGGTGGTGCGAACTGAGCAAATGAACGGGGACCTTGAAGGTGATAGACGATTCTGCAGGGTGCTAACCTGGACAATGATGGCCCGAAGAAAGACACTGGAGAGGCAGACCTGACAAAAGGAAAGCAGCCCTTGTCCGCATGCACTATGCTTTTGATCGCGGCTTGTCGGGAGAGGCGCGGGAGCACGGGGTCCCGAGGGCACGGAGGCACATTGACGAGGAGAAAGGGGTGATAGGGTGTTGAAGAAAGCCCCGTCGTACAGAGGGCGGGTGCTTTTCATCGAGAGTTTGATGTTGATGTTTGAACGGCGATGTTGGGTTTGACGGTTGTAAATTATGAGATGTGTCTGGGGGGCAATACCCTGACCAGACCCATGAACTGACTCAAGGCTTGTAATGCTCGAGTTGCGCAACATGGAGCGCGCTTGGGGCGAGTACAGTGCTCGGGTGAGGAGGTGTGGGCCACGTTAGGAGACGGCAACAGCTGCTGTAAACTGTACAGTAGCGTGCTGGTGCAACTAACAATACGCTATATTGTTGACATCTGGGCAGCACCAGCAGCCAGCAACAGGCGGCTACGGTGGATGCAACCCATTGTCCCCTGCGAGAAATCGCTAGCATCAGCCCCAGTTCTGCCTAGTACCGCCAAACATCAACCAGTTGCCATTTGTCAGGTCCACTACTACGGACTTGCACCCGTGCACTTGAGCACTCGAGCATTAGTTGTGACTTTGAGAGCTCCGAACTCCATGCTCCATAATATGCTGGAATTCTGGGGGCCCAGATGCCACCAGAGGGCCGCAAGAGGCAATGGACCCAGGGAGAGAGCGACTTGGCAGTGACGTCGGACGGGGTTCCTGCTTGCTCCTGCCTGTTCCTGCTGCTCGTGCTTCTCATGCTTTTCGTGCCTGCGCTTGTTCTGCTTTGGCTGCTTGGGAGTCCGCTGCCCTTTCCCCGGTTATTTCTCCTCTACTCTGCTCCTGCCCATCCTACTCCTGGCTAGGTGCACTTCAGCACTTTCGCCTGGTTTATCCTCTTGTGCTCGTTGGCTCACATCCACCGGCAGCTTTGGTTTAGCGGGAACTGCAGCCTGGCCTCACAACGAATGCTCCTCTCAAGTGTCCAGTACGGAGTATCCGCCGTCTTCAATGCTGAGCTACTTGATACTTGACGTTGGAACATGCTACTCCGTGCCTTCCTCAGGCACTTCGGTACTTGGGTACCTGGCGACCTGGCGACGGGCGACCTCGAGGCTATGGCTGGCACCCGCTGCGGACTGACATCAAGTGCTTGAGTGGGCTTCTCGACAACATTTTTGAGAATTCGGGCCCTCCGTGTTTAAACGTCCAGCAACCACTAACAACCAACAGCCAACAAGCCCGTTCTTCACATCCACTCACTCCGTTCTCCGTTCTCCGTCCTCCATGCTCCATGCTCCATGCTCCATACACCCTTTACTTTGCCCTCCACTCGTCTGGCTTTACTCAGTGAGACGAGCCGTTTCCCCTTTCCTTGTTTTCCACCCACGCCTCCCTTGCTAGTCTGGTACGCTTTTAGTACCTTTGGCACACCATTCTCGAAATCATGCCCCAATCTTCGCGGTACCCTTTGCGGGGCCTGAGGTGTGCGGCTTTTGGAAAGGACTCGTTGATATGCAGACGATGACTCCATACACCCATATATGCCTGCTGTTCATCAAGCTCGGCCCTCGTCTTCTGGCCTGTTGATCTCAGTGCTATATAATCTTGGACCTTCCTCAGCCTTGCCGTCATCGGTCGACTAATCCATTCCCAGACAGCAAGTCTATCAGCCTACTCTCTCCGTTCTCCTCATTCTATATATTGCCTCTACGCTCACCAATCTGGCCTTGACATTCATCTTGTCTGCTTAGACAACCTCATCAAACAAATCTGCGTTCGGAACCATCTTCAAGCATTAAGTCTGTCTCCTGTAGCTCGTGGAGTAACCGGATATATCAAATCGTTTTTCTTTTGCTTCACCCACTACTCCAATTTTGTTTTAGGCAGTTTCTGCGAGAGAAGCCAGCCATGTTCGGTACCTGGAAGTATGGTAGAGGTCAAGGACAGGTCGAAAACCTGAAAACTTCCCACGATTATGAGACAGCACGCTCTAATCAGCATCAAGCTTGTAACAGATGCCACGTCAAGAAGGTACGCTGCGTCGGAAAGACCCTATTTCGTACAACTCCACACTCAGATTACCGGGCCACGGTGTTGTTTTCTACTGTAAACAGTCATTTCTCTCTTTTCGTGACAGATTGACTCTGTCTCAACACCACCGGAGTATATCTCTTGCAAGCCTTTAATTCTTTGCTCCATTATTCAAAAGGACTTTTATCATTCCGCCCAAACGATGATCCATCCACAATCCGTCCCCAGAGTATATGGCAGCCCAAGCCCTAACACACTGTGAACATGTTATTCTGAGGTCTTGAGGCTGACTAGGTCTTCTTCGAGAGCAGTTGAAATGCAGCGGCGACAAGGACGGGTGCGAGAGATGCACTGCTCAAGGCCGTACCTGCGAATATAGACGTGAAACTACTCGTTCAAAAAAGAACAGAAAGTCTGACCCTCACTCTGCAGGCAGTTCACGAAGTGGTCGTGATGGCAGTGGGAGCCCAAAAGGCTCTCACAAATCCCATTCATCCAAATCCAGGGATAGGCGAGTTGCTCCCCTGTCTGGCATCTCTCGAGATTCAGCAGCAGCTGGAGGAAACGTGTATCAGGGGGGCTCGGTCCCCGCTGGTCATGGAATGACTACGTTTGACGGCTACCCATTTATGTCCTCGATAATGGAAGCACAGACTTCTGGGTATCCTGCAACTGCCCCAATTGGAGATTTCGCGGCTGTTGGCGACTACACACGAGGTACATGGATGCTGGATGGCAGCACAAGCACCGCTGGCATTGTTTCTTCGTTTATCGCAACCTCGGAGGCAATGTACACAGATGATGCCCACGCATTCTCAAACTACTCCCATCATACCAGCTTCGATATGTACCAACACATGGGTCCAAATGAGGACCCCCGATTTTGGCCTCAAAACCAGGATCAGCATTGACAATTACTGACAAGCAACGCGGGCTATGCCTAGAGGTGATGGCATGTGGATAGGTGCCATTGGGGCACTGTCGTATTTCATCTTCTGAACGATGACTGAGAGATTGTACATCACAACTTGTCATTTTGTTTTTCCTTATTTCCTTTGCACAGCATATGCATATAGATTCACGAACATTTAATGATGTTACGACCTGCGATTACATCTGCGACCTTTTTTTGCGGCCTTTTCTTTTCTTTTCTTTTCTTTTCTTTTCTTTTCTTTTCTTTTCTTTTCTTTTCTTTTCTTTTCTTTTCTTTTCTTTTCTTTTCTTTTCTTTTCTTTTCTTTTCTTTTCTTTTCTTTTCTTTTCTTTTCTTTTCTTTTCTTTTCTTTTCTTTTCTTTTCTTTTCTTTTCTTTTTCTCTCCCTTCTTGGGCTTCGTGGAGTAGTGATCTTTGTCTCTGAATCGATCCTGACAGCCGTGAGCTACATGTCGTTACCCTGCTAGTAGTAAGGTTTGGAGCAGTAGGGGATGGGGTCCTGACAGTAGAGGTGCGATCTTCTCTGGGAACCTTGATAGAAATAATATCTCCAATATCAAAGTGTTGGATTGTGTGCTGCTTAGAGTACTTCTGCATCATCCGAAGCTTTGCTTTCTGGGTTGCTTTCTGGGCTTTTGCGATTACTTGATCTGCATTCCGTGGGCCTCTCTGCTCCTTCTCCGACTCGTAAGTCGGACAGCTCTGAGTTGATGGTGATTCGAACAGCTCTGAGTTGGTGATGAGATGCGCACGTTGATTTCTGAGCCTAAAGCCGCTTCTGGGCTTACTTATATGCATGGTGATCTGCGAACTGCCTGGGCCAACCCCAATGTTGATTGCCGGACTGGGAGTGGGAGTGCTGGGGCTGAGGGTATAGGTTGGGTAGAGTCCTCCTGAGCGACCAACGGTAGGATCTACTCGCTTTTGCTGATTTAGCCAGTCGATATAAGAAGTACGCTCCCTAAAGAGCCAATAGTAGAGTGCTTCTGAGTGTTCATTGCCAACGTAACTTCCATGTGTCGCGTTGCGCGATTGCAATTCCTTTTTTTCCTGATTGATCAGCTCGAAGCTTTGCTTCCACTACCCCATTGGCTTGCTCAATCAATCCTTGGGTTTGGGGTGACAAATACATGAAAAATTCCCTTCTTCTTATTAATAATCTGGATCCCATACTTACACAGCAAGATTAGAAACCTCCGTCCCTGGACGGAGGTTTCCCCACCCTAATGTAACCCAAGTCAGCAGCTTTATCCGACACGTGTAGCCCCAACCAGGATTGGACTGAGACGTAGTGCCGGCCCCGGTTGGCTGGGATCACGGGAGCAGAACGCGTTGCAGCGGAGATCAGCTGAAAAGTGATCTTTGATATGCAGAATCCACTTATATTGACCTGATGGTTCATGCCGCATATCAATCAGGTCAGCTTGAACACGCTCCCACGCCCGGCTAGTAACAATGGGCACGCCAGACTATCACTAGTGAACGGTGCTCAATCGCACAAGTCATGTCAAATGGTCTGGTAATGCGCATAACCTATCCACTTGCTAGTGCTGCAGCCATGTTACGGCGATGCGCTAGACTGAGAATAAGAAGATGCCCTAATGCCGTAAGTGGGCATGCTCCATTACTTCAGTTTTTAAAGCAAATTTGACCGATCTGGTTTCATGCTATCTAACCCTTTATGCCTCAGAAAATAAAGGCACGCGCTTGACTACAGTAATACGCTGATGTAAGCACGTGGCCCCCGTAAAGACCGCTTGGCCAAGAGAGCATTATAAAGCAGACATTTTCCACCACATATCATGTAACGTTGTGTTAGATCCTGTGCTTAAGTCGGGATTCAGTTTGGTTTCGTGGTTTGCGGTCGGGATTATCAAGTAAAATATGCAACTCCCGCCATTTGGTGTATTCGATGCGCTCTCTATTTGTTGCAGCTATCAGGTGAGGCAGGCAGCATGACTACAAAATATGAAGGTTGGCCAACCATCTGAATAAATGATGTTTCTAGTACAAAAACGAAAAATCACATTACGCAGAACACTACACACCGACACAGCTCTACCAATGATTCACACATAGGTTGCTAGTACTAAATCTGCTACGTTAGCAGAACCCACTCCTATTATAGCATGTTGGAACCTGTGCTAATGCGAGACAGTGGTATCCGGGTGACAAGAGTGGCAACGATAACAATGGGGACTGATGTGCCATATTTTACATCTCCTAAAACGACCGAGAGTTTAGAATGGCAGCATCGGCCGCTACCATATGACCCAGTTCGTGATGTAATCGCCGACATTCATGTGGACTCAACCGATATGGCGTTGTATGCACGGTACAAGATGGATGAAACCTTGTAGAAACCATTTCAACCTCATGAGGCTCAAGTTATTAGTGAGCAGTCGCATGTAAGTTAGTAGCCCTAGCATTTAACAGTCCTCGATAACACACTTTGGCGCGTAATAACACCGGACTGAATCTGCAAGGTGAAAGAAGTTGGCCGTAATCAGCTCCAGCCGGTATGAAGCCCCTCTTTGAGCGTGCTTACATGTTTCTTTAATACATATGTTTTCACAGGTTTGCAAAACGCTATCAGGGCATAGAAATGCTTGTCTCTATGGTAGAAAAGTACAGAATAACACCAAACGGACGGGCGCATGGAATGGCCAATCCGTAGCGATAGCATTGACCGAAGCGCTTCGACGACGAAGGTAAAGCCTTTACTAGCTATGCCACCCTGACCTGTTAGCCTATTCACCAAAAATCGTTCTCACAAGAAATGTGGTCAATGGATGGATTACAGGCCGACGCTCGGTTCAATCCTTGCGGTCAAAGGGGTGGTAGTGTGGTCCTGTTGAAGGGGTGGTAGTGTGGTCGTGTTGAACATGAAACAGCATCACGTGCAGGGTCCAGCCTGCGCCTTCCATAAATAGCGTGCCTGGGCGGCATCTCTAGCTTAGAGAATCAACGCACTCCTTTCATCTGTGTTCCGCTGTGACGTTCAACAGGTCCTATGTATGTATGTGTATTTTCCGTCCAGTGGCCTCAGGCCACTCAGGTCCCCTATGTCGCGTTTTGAGATGTGTATTAGCCATAGTCACTTAGAGATATTGTGCTACCCGTTACAATTCTTGTGTATTCCTCGCATGACTCTCCTCATCCAATGATCGGAAGGATTGAACGCAGCTATTTATCTTGTGAGCTGCTTCGCCGAAGCGGCGAAGCTGTAACAGGTAACCAGGCGAAGCTGTAACAGGTAACCATGTCTGATACAAACTTAAGACTATGAGTGTTTGAGGAATTGTCAGTATAGCGGTTCCCAGCAACCTCTGCATTCCCCAACTATACGACGTAGCGATGCCTACCGTGACCCCCACGGTAGGGCTTTTGACGCAAGCTCGGCCATCCTGGCCTTCGCTCATAGATTCGCCTGGGTTCCCAGTTCTTTCATGAACATTCCCGCCAGGTCTTTCGATTATGCCTGGGTTCCCAGTTCTTCTACGAACATTCCCGCCAGGTCTTTCGATTTAGTTCAGCCCAAGGTGCTCTAGAGAGGTGCGCGTCCACTGAGGTCTAGCCCCTGCAGTGGATTTTGCCCGACACTATTCGCCTACAATGTCCACAGGCAGTCTATTGATAGCTACAAGGCTCTTCTCACTGTCGCTCGCGAGTATAAGACTCAGGGTTTGGCCTATTCTGACGCTAGGAGGCTGTTGAAAGAGGAGGCAGCAGGGTTAGTGATCAAAAAGCGAGACTACTATAATTTAGTGAGGCTCTGTCCCCAGGACATCAAAGATGATGATGACACTATCACCGCATTACTTCGAGCGCTAGAAGACCGCGCTTTTAAGTATCGACTACGTACAGAAGATACAATTGAAGACGGCGTCGTCATCGCTCGCAAGCTAGTCCAAATTTTCTTCTACTGCGAACAGGCAGTGCCTTTCACCCAGCGATTTACCTCAAATGCAGTGCTCATTGTTGACGGCACGTTCAGAACCAATAAGCTAAAGTTCCCTCTGCTCGTTGCTGTTGGCAAGACCAACACAAATAGGACAATGCCAGTGGCCTTCTCATACGCCCCTAGCGAGTCTGCTGAGTCATTCGTCTTCTTCTTTGACTGTATGCGTACAGAATTCTACTATAACGACATTTGCGAGCCGGCAGTAGTTATCGCTGACCACTCATCTGGAATGATTAGCGCCTACGATACTCACAAGGCATTACCCCAGTCACGGCTTCAGATTTGCTCCTGGCACGCTGTCAGAAATACGGTGGCACAATATCACTGCAAAAAATCTATTCTCCAAAGTAAAGTTGAGTTCGTTGTTCTTCTTCTCTAAAACTAGAAGAATTTCATCATAAATAAGGACCATCAGAATCCTGCTGCCTGCAAGGCAGCAGCATACTGAATGCTAGGTGGTAGCACACAGTGCGATTCAGCGCCACAAATCTGACACACCCCCCCAGTCCTGGCCGTGAGGCCTGGACTGTGAGCGGGGCTTTCATAGTTCAAGCAGCTCAAGCCTCTCCTGCAAAGCCTCAGTGTCCATTTCTTCGAGTGTTCGTTGCCTTAGTTTCCCTTCAATGTCCACCAGACCAAGTCGGTCAATGAAGACCTTGAATGGTTGACTGCTGAGGGCTTTGGTGAGTCCATCTGCCACCATCTCTCCTGTTGGTACGTAGTTTACTGAAATTGTCCCCTTTTCAGTTTCCTGACGTATCCAGTGGTCGTGGATGTTAACATGGCGGAGTTTGGTCTGCAGCAGTCCAACTTCCTTGTTAACCAGCTTGATTGTTTGTTGGTTGTCGCACTGGATCTGTATCGTCTTGCTATCTAGGCGGATACCGATTTCTTTGAGAAGACGAGAGACAAACATTGACTCTTTCGTTGCTTGTGACAACGCAAGAAGTTCAGCTTCAGTCGTCGATGTTGTGACTGTGTCTTGTTTATTTGCTCGCCACCCAATGGTTCCGCCAAAGAGCTGCATGACATATCCTTGGGAGCTTTTACGGTCGATGGAGTTATCTGCGAAGGAGGCGTCGCTTGCGACTAGGAATTCGTCTCCTCCCCCGAGCTGCAGCGCCAGAGATCTAGTTCTCTTGAGGTAATGGATTACCTTGTCCGCAGCTGCATGATGTTCGTCGGAAGGATTTATGTTGAACCTTGCTAGTCTTGAC